CGAATCACCACCGAGCCGTCTAGGTGATGGTGATCATCAAGAGTAACAAGCATAAACTCTCACTTGACCACAACAAGCCTAATAAGAAGGGTGGATGCACACTTGCTACTCTCCTTGCACTAATAAGGACCTTAATCTTGGATTCTCAAATCTCAATCACCTCACTAGGTTTTTGCTCTCCTTTGCACTCTCATGGGTGTTTCTCAGCTGAACAAATGGGTAAGAGCCCTCCGATGGACGAGTGGAGTAAATATTTATACGCCCTCATTTAAAACATAACGTTTGGACGTTGAGTTAGCATTCTGTGGGGTGACCGGACGCTCCGGTCAGTTATACCCGCAAAGAGCCGTTATGCTTTGACCAGACACTGACCAGCGTCCGGTCAACACTGACCAGACTCGTCCGGTCAAGAAAAACGCTCTTTGGAACCTTACTGATGTTGATCGGACGATGGAACCCAAAGTCCGGTCACTTCGCTGTTCAGCGTCCGGTCGGTTATCGGATCCTAGCCAGTGTCCGGTTAGCACTGACCAAACGCGTCCGGTCAAGAAAATCCCTCTCTGGAACCTCTATGGAGTTGACCGGATGCTGGCACCTAGGTCAAGCTACTAGTCCATACCCCCCTTAATAGTACGGCCAAAGGAAAAATAAAGTGCTAAACTACTCTAAGTGTCTATTCAACATCAAACAACACTTAGAACTAGTTCGTTCTTAACATTGTCGTCCATCCTTTGAAAACTGAAACGATTTTCATCGACGGGGGCATGACAACCATGATTGCCCAATCAATTGCCATTACCATGACCTAACTCAAATTGCCTCTACAAAACACACGTTAGTCATAGTAATCTCGTGTCATCATTAATCACCGAAACCCAACTAGGGGCCTAGATGCTTTCAATCTCCTCTTTTTTGGTGATTGATGACAACACAACCTCGAGTATGTAGAAGAGATTAGTGAGGTTTTCAACATACTTGATTTATATAAGCTTTTGACAATAAGAGCAGAAGAGTTAGACATGCTTATATGATCCAAGCCAATATGGTGTACTCAATAGATATGAATTAAGCATGAGTACATAAAGTAAAGCTCATTTGAATCAAAGTAAAACACGGAAGCAAAGCAAATGAGCATAACCAAGTGACATGACATATATAAAGATATCAAATGTAGAGAGCACACATGTCACATAAGTCTCACCATCACAAGTATGTAATGCAATACGTAAAAGAAAACGTGAATGCACAAAGTATCACATATAAAGAAACAAATCACATGCTCCCCCTAGATCACATGCTCCCCTAGATCTAACATACTCGCTCCCTCTTCTCCTTTGACGTCAAGCACTAAAATCTAAGGGTCGGGCGGTGGGATAAGAGCAGACAAGTCGAACGCTGAGGTGCGGTGAGAAATCTGGAACTGAGCAGCAGCATCCTCGGACCCTGAACTCTGAGCGGTCTGACCCTCTGTCACTAGAAGTAAAGGTGAAGCAGTCTGGGTCTGCTCAGTAACTAGTGCGGCCTGTGACTCTGGAAGTACCAGAGTAAGAAGCGGAGCCACATTTACCTGTGTCGCTGTGACTGTCTGAGGTGGCTCGGACAAGTGAAGCAGGAGGCGCGTATGAAAAAAGCGTGTCCATAGTGACTTGGCATATTTGCTTCCAGTACGTTTTCATTTATGTATCTGTCATGTAGGCCTAGGCGGCCAGTGAGTGTATCGGCATATAAAGTGTCCGAATCCTGTATCAAGAACTCATTCAGAAATTGCTAAGCGCGTGTTTAGTTCCCACCCTAAATTTTCAAAAAGTGCTACAGTAGCCACCACATCGAATCTTGCGATACGTGCAAGGAGCATTAAATGTAGACGAAAAAAAACTAATTACACAGTTTGGTTGGAAATTGCGAGACGAACGTTTTGAGCCTAATTAGTCTATGATTGAACATTATTTACCAAATAAAAACGAATATGCTACGGTATCCAAATTTCCAAGTTTCATCCTAACTAAACACGCGCTAAGACAAACGTTCAGGAAAAGGCTGTCCTAACTGGCGTTCTCATCCGTTCCCTGTACTCGCTTGAGCACTCAAGTCGACGGCCAAGGTATGACAGGGCTTAATTAAACTTGCCTCCCAAACTCGATGCTTTGTCAGGGTGCCGAAGCAAGCGCGCCCCACGGCTGCTCTGCCTTGCAACTAACCAAACCTAAAAGCTGTATACAAGAGATGCGCATGCGTCAGACGATAATTTTTCCTGCGTAATCCCGCATTAACTAACTGTACCTCCACTCAAGACAATGGGGAGAAAATCCCCACCCCACGGCGACAAGACGATGCGAACAGGGCGGCAGGAGCAGGGGCGACCAAGCCTCTGTGGTGAAGGTGAGCGCACTGCGGGACGAGGCGCCGGCCGGCGACGGCAATCGTCAGGGACAGGGAAATGCCGTGCACTTACTCGCCATCGCCTGCGCGTCAGCACATAGCAGCAGCCACAGGCCCACAGCAGAAAAAGCACATCGCGGCAGCCACAGCAGGTGCCTGACAGCGACGGCCGAGCTGATTGCTACTTAACTCCGGACCGCCGTGGTCTCATCTTGAACAAGACAGCGTCGGTTGGTCCTGTCGATGATTGGCATTTTCTGAAGGGTCGCACTGAAAGTACTATTATCTGATTTCTTACGAGAGAAAAATACTTTACAGCTTATAAGCAAGCGTACACGGCGTTGTTCAAGCCGGCCACCGTCTGATCTGGTCATCTGTGGCGTCGGTGTCTGGCCGCGCGCGTCGCAAGGTGGTTGTTGGGGTTGGTGAACGTGCCGTGAAGCCAGAGGCCGATTTATATTTAGCACGGGACTTGGCTGTTGTTGGCACTTGGCAGTGGTAAAATTAGTAAAACGGTACTGCAGTGGTTAGTAGCACTCTATTTCTTTGCAAAAAAAAAAAACAATCTCAGTCCCACTTTTGTTCACCCTATTTCTTTGCAAAGAAACAATCTCAGTCTGAACATGCTGCTGCTGCTAGACGACGATGGCAGCAGCAGCAGCTTCCTTGGGTATGTTGCAAGCAACAAGCTACCACATTTGATTAGTATTGGTCTTAGGATAAAGTATGTTTCATTTTCGTATCGTTGGCCGCTGGTCAAGCTTCGCAAGCAAACCCGTGGCAGTTGGAACGACCGGTACACCGTCAGCTTGTTCACTCTTGATGGCAGTAAGATCGGACTCCTCCAGTTCAGCCTGGAACCCTGGGAAAACAAGAGAAGTGTCCCGGTGCTCCCCCCCAATTTTTCTTCTCCGAACTTTGCAGCAAAGGAATGGAAGGAAGACTCCTCCGCGGTTCAGCCTGGAACCCAGGGAAAACAAGAGAAGTCTCCCGGCGTTGCTTCTCTGAACTTTGCAGCAAAGGAATGGAAGGATATTCCTGGTTGAAGGAGTCATCGCGCTGATCTACCATTTTTCTTCTCCCATCACTCTCGACATCAATCTCACGCATCCTCGGTGCAAAGAGGATCAATGCAGACAGAGACAGCAGATAGCTAGCCTCTGGGCAAGCAGGGTATTATAAATGTATGTATCACTGCCTATCCGTTTTGTTTAGTCAACCAATTCAACAAACTGCATTATTCGCATGGAAAATCCTCAACTTGGTCTGTTTGTGATCATCACTAATAATATATGCCAACGGCTCCTCGTACCGGTTGGTCAAGATGTCCGGTGGGCACTCTCGCTTGCAGGGTTGGAGCCCCCACGGGTGCGCTCGTTCGCTAGCCGGAGTTAAAAAAATCCCTCCGCCTGTCCCGAGTTTCCCAAAGCACAGGTTAATGGACCGGCCCACTCACAGGGTTTCTAGCCCTTGTGTAAGGGCGGAGCACGGGGTTCGGGGGTTTTCTCGGACTGCGTGAGAATATCTTTTTCCTTGAGCATAAAGTTGCGGGGGCTGTCTGCCCACCGTAGGCCGAGTTTTTTTTATCACTAATAATATATATATATATATATACACTAGCACCACTGTACCGGCAACATGGCTCGTCAGAAAACTGGTCCAGAATATAGTATGTACGTCTAAACAGCAGGAGTATATATTTGTGGCAAATAGGGGCATATACAGATGTACTCGGACAGTCCTCCTACTTATCCCGTTCAGTTTGGTCAGCCGGATTCTATTATTCGCCCTGTTAATAAAATACGTGCGTTCGCAAGAAGAAGATGATGAAGAAGAAGAAGAGAAGAAGAAGAAGAAGATTCCATTATACGCGTACAGAGATATCTAAACTCAATCAGTCTGATCTCTAATGATACTGCTACTACTACCACCACTGGTGCATAAAATAAATAACGTGATCCTGAAACAATGTCCTGAAAAATGGTACCACTGCCAGTCTGCCATGTGTAGGTAGGAGCCAACCGTTTTGAGCTGCATCGCATGGTTCCTTCTGCAAGGGGGGACGCGTCAGGCCCGTGCAATTAGGGCGCTGTCTCCCCTTCCTCCATTTCTAGTGATCCGGACCGTTCGTTCATCCAATTAGGCAACGTGCAAGTGCGACGCGACGACGAAACGGCGCAAGAAACGCGTACATGATCGAGGCCCCGCCGGACTGCCTGTTGCACACGCCACACGCACAGCGGCACTGACGACGACGAAACGGAGCAAGAAATTATCCGGACAGAATAATAATCAACGCCGCGGGCTGGGCGGCCCCAATTATCCGGCATCATGTGTAGCAGCTCGCGCACGCTGCATAAACAACTCTATCTCGACGCTCCCCCCACGTCTTGCTTGCTTGTCCTCGCACGTTCTTCTTTTCCTACCCCGTCGTCGCCTTCTTCCCCGGTGGTTCCTTCCAGAGCTCCAGTAGTCTCGGCCGACTGGTTAGTCTCCGGTCCCTGCCTATAAGTACGGGCTCAGTGTGTGCTCCCATTTCATCACGACACAGCAACACTACTCATCGCTCACCAACGTGCAGATTAAGGAAGCAGCAGGCCGCCCACTCACTGACTGCGGTCATGGCGAGGATCCAGCTCTACGTCGCCGCGGCCTGCGCCGTGGTCCTCGCGCTCGCCGCCCCGGCTCTCGCCGGCGACCCCGACATGCTCCAGGACGTCTGCGTCGCTGACTACGCCTCCCGTGAGTAGAAACGAAACCTGTCGTCGGTCTTCTCGAGTCGTTTCTTTCCACTTCTGACCCGTGCGTGCGTGCACCGTGCAGCGGTCAAGCTGAATGGGTTCCCGTGCAAGGCGAACATCTCGGCGGACGACTTCTTCTTCGACGGGCTGAGGAAGCCCGGCAACACCAGCAACGCGGCGGGCTCCCTGGTGACGGCGGCCAACGTGGAGAAGTTCCCGGGCGTCAACACGCTGGGCGTCTCCATCGCGCGCATCGACTACGCTCCGGGCGGCCAGAACCCGCCGCACACGCACCCGCGCGCCACCGAGATCATCTTCGTCCTCGAGGGCACGCTCGAGGTCGGCTTCATCACCACCGCCAACAAGCTCTTCACCAAGACCCTCACCATGGGGGACGTCTTCGTCTTCCCGCGCGGCCTCGTCCACTTCCAGCAGAACAGGGGGTACGGCCCCGCCGCCGTCGTCGCCGGCTTCAACAGCCAGCTCCAGGGCACGCAGCAAATCGCCATGACGCTCTTCGGCGCCACGCCGCCCGTGCCCACCGACATCCTCGCCAAGGCCTTCCAGATCGGCAACGGGGAGGTGGAGCACATCAAGGCAAACTTCGCGCCCAAGTAGAATACCAGGCAGCGTCTTCGTCTTCCAATATATGTCTGCATTCGTTGGTTTCTCAATAAATCCCGCGGTGCCTGCCGTTAGTGATCGGAGTGTGCAGTTCGATTTGTTCATCTTCGGTTTGGTTGGAGATATTGCTGACCACGCTTGTTGCTGCTAATTTGTGTGGAGCAATTATATTGCTTGTCCTCCTATAAATAAGATAATCAGTTTTGTTTATTTATGGCTTGCGTTGCTTTGACTTGGTTCTTGTTAAGCGTGTCCGACAAAATGACAAATTATGAGATGATGAATAGCGCTTAATCTGTGCTTGCAAATTGTTTGAGAAATTAATAACAATGATTCGCGGACGCCTTTGGCTGTCCTTGTTCCACAACTGCAGTTTCAGTGTCGTCGGGCCATAAAGTCAATGGTTGACAAGATCGAGGTTCTACCGTTCTAGCGGCGAGGATCTGTTTTTTTTTTTGGTGGGGGGGGGGATGGGAAGTTCTATCCAGTCCAACAATGGAAAACATATTTGAACTTAAGAAAAGACAAATTTTGTAAGACCAATAACTAGTCAAATTATATACTTCTATTCAAAGTGATTTTAAGATGAAGTAGCTTTTGTAGTAATAGACAGCATTGTGAGGTAAATTTAAAATCAAAATCTACTTTGAAGGACCGTTTTTGCTGCTAAATTACACAGTACATTGATGGATGATTACTGGCCTATTGGGAGTCTTCCAATATGCCCTTGATAGTAGGAACTAAACACAATTTACACACACACACACACACCAGTTATTTAATAATTCGGTAGTTATTTTACTAATCTTGTTTCTTCTATTTCTCTGTCCTCTCTTTTTAATGTTTTTTGTATGTTTTCATATTTTTCATTTTATGTTTTATTGTACCCTAATTAATTATTTTTATTATAATGTTTTACTTTTTAATTTTATGTATGTATTTAATGAGGTATATGTAATTTCATGTAGTATATATGTAATGTTTACGTAGTATACATGTGGCATACCTCTAATGTTCGCTTGAAATATTTCTTCTATAGTATAATATGATTGTTCTTATAGTATTTACGAGTTGTATTCTAATTATCGTTATAGTATTCATGATATGTTGCATGATATACATGATCTTGTGGTGATATTCACTTAAACAATTTTTTTGTATCATAATAAGACTATTCTCATATTATTTATGAGATACATTCTAAACTATTGTAGTATTCATGGTATGTTCAGTGATGTATTTTGGATGTTCATATAGTTTTTTTTTGAGATATTCCATGATGCATTCTTGATTTTCTCGAAGCACTCATGTTTCGTACGGGGTATATTTTTTAATTTTCCTATAGTACCAATGAGATATTCCATGGTGTATTTTTTGTCATTCGCGTAGTATGTAGAGGATGTTCCATGATATATTTAACTCTAATTGATTATTTTCTTTTTTTTCCTTTTTCTTTTTTATGTTTTACTTTTTTATTTCATGTATACCATGAAATACATATGATGTTCGTATAGTATACATGTGATGTTTGCGTAGTATAAATGTGATGTTTCTATGTTCTATTTTTGATTATTTACACTGTATCTATTGGATGTTTCATAGCGTACTCTAGGATGTTCATGCAGTATAAATGTGATGTTGCATGATGTATATTTGATCATTTACATAATACATGCATATGTGAGATGTTGTGTGGTATATTTTAGGTTGTTCTAGTAGTATATGTGTGATGTTCTGTTTTACTTTTATCTATTATGGGCCTTTTCCCTTTCTATTATTTATATTTTCCCTTATGTTTTGTTCTAACTTTTTATTAACTTTGACTTTCTATTTAAGTTTTTTCTAAATATTACATAGATTTGTAATTTATTTTTTCTTGTTGGGGATTCAACCTCAGGCAACACAGTCCCCGAAGCCAACTGAATTTTTTTTACTAGTGAAATACTTCAATCTTTGAGTTATTCTTGTTAAATAGGAACAACTTCGTTCGAAGCATCATTTGTGGGATCTTCAGGAGAGTATGACAAAGCAGAAGCAAAGCCGAAGGCAGTTGACCGTGCAGTATATTTCGTGTAGAAGCAAAGCCAAAAATCTAAAGGCGAAGGATGTTGATCCACTTAATTAGCTTGTTCGATTGTTGGTTTTAGCCATGGCTTATAAGCCGGTCAACGGTATTTTTCTCTCCCAACAAATCAGCTTATAAACCAACATAAGTTGCTTGTCGAACCAGCGAAGAGGCTGAATGTGTAGAAGCGAAGCTAATGGCAGACAGGAAACGCAGTGATCTGCAGTTCAATGTGGGAGATCAAGTCCTCCTCAAGCTGCAACCATACACACAATCAACAATGGCTAGCAGACTATTTCCCAAGCTGGCGTGTAAATACTTTGGCCCATACAAAGTGCTGGAGTGCGTTGACTCAGTAGCCTATCACCTTGACCTGCCAGAGGGCACCATGATCCATCATGTATTTCACATTTCACAACTAAAACTATTTGTTTTAGATTACACACCGGTCTACGGCTCTACTATTTACAACTGATCTCTGGAGGCGGCGGCAACAACACCACAGGCTATCATCGACCGACGCCTCGTCAGGCAAGGTGCTATGGACAGGTCTTCTGGAGTCGTCAGCCACTTCGGAAGATTACCACGTCCTCAACCAGCACTTTCCATAGGCTCAAGCTTCATCTTCGGCGGGGAGGTGTCATGGGTGACTACGACAAGTGAAGCAGGAGGCGCATATGAGGAAAGCGTGTCCATAGTGACTTGGCATATTTGATTCCAGTAAGTTTTCATTTATGTATCTGTCATGTAGGCCTAGGCGGCCAGGGAGTGTATCGGCATATAACGTGCCCGAATCCTGTATCAAGAACTCATTCAGACAATTGCTAAGGCAAACGTTCAGGAAAAGGCTGTCCTAACTGGCGTTCTCATCCGTTCCCTGTACTCGCTTGAGCACTCAAGTCGACGGCCAAGGGTATGACAGGGCTTAATTAAACTTGCCTCCCAAACTCGATGCTTTGTCAGGGTGCCGAAGCAAGCGCGCCCCACGGCTGCTCTGCCCTGCAACTAACCAAACCTAAAAGCTGTACGTATACAAGAGATGCGCATGCGTCAGACGATAATTTTTCCTGCGTAATCCCGCATTAACTAACTGTACCTCCGCTCAAAACAATGGGGAGAAAATCCCCACCCCACGGCGACAAGACGAGGCGAACAGGGCGGCAGGAGCAGGTGCGACCAAGCCACTGAGGTGAAGGTGAGCGCACTGCGGGACGAGGCGCCGGCCGGCGACGGCAATCGTCGGGGACAGGGAAATGCCGTGCACTCACTCGCCATCGCCTGCGCGTCAGCACATAGCAGCAGCCACAGGCCCACAGCAGAAAAAGCACATCGCGGCAGCCACAGCAGGTGCCTGACAGCGACGGCCGAGCTGATTGCGACTTAACTCCGGACCGCCGTGGTCTCATTTTGAACAAGGCAGCGTCGGTTGGTCCTGTCGATGATTGGCATTTTCCAAAGGATATCATCCTTGTTGAAGCCGGCCACCGTCTCATCTGGTTATCTGTGGCGTCGAGTCTGGCCGCGCGCGTCGCAAGGTGGTTGTTGGGGTTGGTGAACGTGCCGTGAAGCCAGAGGCCGATTTATATTTAGCACGGGACTTGGCTGTTGTTGGCACTTGGCAGTGGTAAAATTAGTAAAACGGTACTGCAGTGGTTAGTAGCACTCTATTTCTTCGCCAAAAAAAAAAAAAATCTCAGTCCCACTTTTGTTCACCCTATTTCTTTGCAAAGAAACAATCTCAGTCTGAACATGCTGCGGCTGCTAGACGACGATGGCAGCAGCAGCAGCTTCCTTGGGTATGTTGCAAGCAACAAGCTACCACATTTGATTAGTATTGGTCTTCGGATAAAGTATGTTTAATTTTCGTATCGTTGGCCGCTGGTCAAGCTTCGCAAGCAAACCCGTGGCAGTTGGAACGACCGGTGCACCGTCAGTTTGTTCACTTTTGATGGCAGTAAGATCGGACTCCTCCAGTTCAGCCTGTAACCCTGGGAAAACAAGAGAAGTGTCCCGGTGTTCCCCCTAATTTTTCTTCTCCGAACTTTGCAGCGAAGGAATGGAAGGAAGACTCCTCCGGTTCAGCCTTGAACCCTGGGAAAACAAGAGAAGTTCTCCCATCACTTTCGACATCAATCTCACGCATCCTCGGTGCAAAGAGGATCAATGCAGACAGAGACACCAGACAGCTAGCCTCTGGGCAAGCAGGGTATTATAAATGTATGTATCACTGCCTATCCGTTTTGTTTAGTCAACCAATTCAACAAACTGCATTATTCGCATGAAAAATCCTCAACTTGGTCTGTTTGTGATCATCACTAATAATATATATATATATATATATATATATGTGTGTGTGTGTGTTATAAATTGATCTCTAATCCTAAGCTGGACCCAACGGCCCAGTTGGGCCTTTCATTCGCGCCCTGATCGGGGGCGCCCAGCCCACTATGGCTGGAGGACCTCTGTCACACTGCGCAATAAATAGAGGTTCGCCTGAGCCGAGCTGCCCACCGAAATCCCTAATCCGATCTAGAGGGTGCGCAGCCAGTGACGGGAAGCTCCACTGCCTCGCCGCCACTGAACTGCGCCACCGGATTGCGTCACCGGACTCCACCGTCTTCACCGACCGTCGCTGCCCTCGCGCAGACACCGACACAACACCCATGGCAGACGCCGCTGGATCGAAGTCCTACGATGGTCAGTAACCTAGCACTACACTTCTCTCTCAAATCTCTGTCTAGTTCATGTACTAGACATGTTATCCATTTATAAGATGTACCCGGCTAGATCTATGAGTACGAGATTAGAATAGATTAACAATATATACTAGCACCATTGTACCGCCAACATGGCTCATCAGAAAACTGGTCCAGAATATAGTATGTACGCCTAAACAGCAGGAGTATATATTTGTGGCAAATAGGGGGGACGCGTCAGGCCCGTGCAATGAGGGCGCTGTCTCCCCTTGCTCCATTTCTAGTGATCCGGACCGTTCGTTCATCCAATTAGGCAACGTGCAAGTGCGACGCGACGACGAAACGGCGCAGGAAACGCGCACATGATCGAGGCCCCGCCGGACTGCCTGTTGCACACACCACACGCACAGCGGCACTGACGACGACGAAAGGGAGCAGGAAATTAAACGCGACGACGAAACGGAGGCCGATGACGAACCAAACTGGAAGCGGTGGCCCGTCGTCCCATCCGGATCCATCCGCCGCTGTCGTCCCACGGCCCACGGGGCACGGACGCCAAATAATCAACGCCGCGCCGTGCCCACGCTGCATAAACAACTCTATCCCGACGCTCCCCCCACGTCTTGCTTGCTTGTCCTCGCACGTTCTTCTTTTCCTACCCCGTCGTCGCCTTCTTTCCCGGTGGTTCCTTCCAGAGCTCCAGTAGTCTCCGGTCCCTGCCTATAAGTACGGGCTCATAGTGTGCTCCCATTTCATCACGACACAACAACACTACTCATCGCTCACCAACGTGCAGATTAAGGAAGCAGCAGGCCGCCCACTCACTGACCGCGGTCATGGCGAGTATCCAGCTCTACGTCGCCGCGGCCTGCGCCGTCGTCCTCGCGCTGGCCGCCCCGGCTCTCGGCGGCGACCCCGACATGCTCCAGGACGTCTGCGTCGCTGACTACGCCTCCCGTGAGTAAAAACGAAACCTGTCGTCGGTCTTCTCAAGTCGTTTCTTTCCACTTCTGACCCGTGCGTGCGTGCGTGCACCGTGCAGCGGTCAAGCTGAATGGGTTCCCGTGCAAGGCGAACATCTCGGCGGACGACTTCTTCTTCGACGGGCTGAGGAAGCCCGGCAACACCAGCAACGCGGCGGGCTCCCTGGTGACGGCGGCCAACGTGGAGAAGTTCCCGGGCGTCAACACGCTGGGCGTCTCCATCGCGCGCATCGACTACGCTCCGGGCGGCCAGAACCCGCCGCACACGCACCCGCGCGCCACCGAGATCATCTTCGTCCTCGAGGGCACTCTCGAGGTCGGCTTCATCACCACCGCCAACAAGCTCTTCACCAAGACCCTCACCATGGGGACGTCTTCGTCTTCCCGCGCGGCCTCGTCCACTTCCAGCAGAACAGGGGGTACGGCCCCGCCGCCGTCGTCGCCGGCTTCAACAGCCAGCTCCAGGGCACGCAGCAAATCGCCATGACGCTCTTCGGCGCCACGCCGCCCGTGCCCACCGACATCCTCGCCAAGGCCTTCCAGATCGGCAACGGGGAGGTGGAGCACATCAAGGCAAACTTCGCGCCCAAGTAGAATACCAGGCAGCGTCTTCGTCTTCCAATATATGTCTGCATTCGTTGGTTTCTCAATAAATCCCGCGGTGCCTGCCGTTAGTGATCGGAGTGTGCAGTTCGATTTGTTCATCTTCGGTTTGGTTCGAGACATTGCTGACCACGCTTGTTGCTGCTAATATGTGTGGAGCAATTATATTGCTTGTCCTCCTATAAATAAGATAATCAGTTTTATTTATGGCTTGCGTTGCTTTGACTTGGTTCTTGCAGTACTGGAAAAATATACTTCGCCGAGTGCCTGAGACTTTGCCGAGTGCTTTTTATCGAGGCACTCGGCAAAGCAATATTTTGCCGAGTGCTGCACTCGGCAAAATAAAGCACTTGACAAAGGTGGCTTTGCCGAGTGCCGCGGCACTCGGTAAAAGGTGGTCGGCCCGTGACGGCGGCCACCTGCCGTCAGATTTTGCCGAGTGCCTAACGGATGGCACTCGGCAATTCTTTTTTATTTTTAAAAACTTATTTTGCGGAGTGCCAGCCCCAGGCACTCGGTAGATTTTTTTTTATTTTTTAAAAACATATTTTGCCGAGTGTCAGCCCATGGCACTCGGCAAATTTTTTTTATTTTTTAAAACTTATTTTGCCGAGAGCTAGACCAAGGCACTTGGCAAATTTTTTTATTTTTTAAAAACATATTTTGCTGAGTGTAAGCCTTGGGCACTCGGCAATTTTTTTTAATTTTTTAAAACTTATTTTGCCGAGTGCCAGCGCGAGGCACTCGGCAAATTTTTTTTTTATTTTTGAAAATCAACTTTGCCGAGTGCCTCCTTGGTTTTTGGCATCCGACGTCACAACTTGCTCGAAACCTTCACAATTTGTTATCACAGCCTCCACATGCGATAACACGACGCCTCGACAAGTTTCGTGATTTTCAGACATCGTTTGCATTTTATATAATTTAAAACCACATTTTCGGCAAGTACCTCGACATGTTACGTCAACGAGATGCTCGAGATTTCATGTGAGTTCCTGGATACAGCCTAAATATACCCTAAATATCATGATTATCAATTTTTGGATGACCAAAGTCCATTATTCCATGTACCTGTAGTTCAAATTTGAAATATCCCAAAAAATTCGACGAAACCAAATAAACTAATGAAATATATAAAAAAGTCAAAATTGCCCCAAATTTTAAAATAGAGTTTGAAATACTGTCACAAGGCCACAGAAAAAAATTTGGGCCCAAAATAAAAAAAATATATTTTGCCGAGTGCTATGGGGGGCACTCGACAAAGTTGATTTTTTTAAAAAAAAAATTGCCGAGTGCCTGGCGCTGGCACTCGGCAAAATAAGTTTTAAAAAATTAAAAAAAAAATGCCGAGTGCCCAAGGCTTACACTCGGCAAAATATGTTTTCTAAAAAAAAATTGCCGAGTGCCCCTTTCTGGAGCACTCGACAAAGGCCCAATAGAAAATGGGCCGCCGGCCCAAAAATCCCCCCCATCCCAGAACCCTATCCGCCACCATCTGCTGGTCCCGGCACACAGATCCTCGACCCGCCACACCACATGCCTCTCATTCCGCGTGACGACGCCATCCACGCCATGCGAGCCCCCTCACATCACATGGCCCTACCCTGATCGCCTGCCCCGAGCACCCCCTAGCCCGGCCACATGGCTCCCAGCGCGTCTTGCCATTGTCGTCATGGCGTCTTGCCACCGCCAAGGCGTCTTGGCCCGTCCTCCTCTCCACGCCCCGCCCCAGTGCGCCCGTGCTCCCCTGGTCTTGCCGCCGGCTTGGAAGAAGGAGGAGGAAGCAGCAGTAAGAAGAAGGGAGGAGAAGAAGGAAGAAAAAATAGGAGAAAGAAAGAGAAGGAAAAGGAAGAAGGAGAAGGAAAAAAGAGAAGAAAAAGAAAGGAGGAGGAGGAGGAGAGGAAGGAGGAGGAGAAGGGGAGAGGGGGAGAGGGGGAGGAAGCCGAGGTGGAGGGGAGGAGGTGCCTCGGCCGTCTTCTTCGCATGCCCGTCCCGCCGACGCCCCTACCGTCACCGAACCGCCTACGAGCGTGAGCAAGGTATATCCACCCTTTCTCCGCTCGGCCTTCGTGCCATTTGTGATTGTCGGCCTTCGTGCCGTTGTGATGTCGGCCTTCATGCCGCTGTGCTTATCGGCTTTCGTGCCGTTTGTGATTGTCGGCCTTCGTGCCGTTGTTTTTTGCAGGTTTTGGAAACCTCCCCGTGTAGGGGAGGTGCTGCCGAAATTTTGAACTTATAGTGTCGTGTTTCTTCTTTTTGCGAGAGCAGGACTGTCGGAGGTGACCCGAGGTCCCGATCGTCTTCGTCGGCGTCAGCTGGTGCACTGCCTCAAGCGTCGCCTCGCCACTACGTCGACTCGCCACTGCCTCGCTAGCCTGACTTCACTAACACCCTAGGTATAAATCACCTCTTTTTCCGCTTGTCTGTCGTCGTAGATCGGTGTAGCCTAGTTAGGCGTCTCCCGTCCGAAAGAGATATCTTTGGAGGTATGCAGATCTTTGCATACCTGAGAGCATTTCTGTTTTGGATTGTCCACGTTTTTGGATAGCCCGCGGATGCATAGATGGGTTAGTTTCTATGGTTCGCTCCGGTCCGAGATGGTGTTTCGGCATCACCCCCCTGTTGTTCTCCGGAGGACCACGTGGCGACCACGGGCACGACCATAGACACTCCGTCGGGGGACGAGGGGACTTAGTAGACGGAGGACAGTTATGCTCAGTCGGCTCCCTACCTGCGAGGTCCCACAAGCCTTCCTCCGGTTCCGCTTCCTGACTGACGCCCACTGGTTCGTCCTATGGGAAGAAGGTAAGTAACTATAGATGTTATCACTAGTACTTCATATGATACGTTGAAAATCAAAAGAGAAACTGATAATTTTTCATAATCACTTATGCTGGGGCTGGCTAGTTCTATCAGGTGCTCTTGACCCCCCACACACCCCCGCTACCGTCCTGGGATGTCTGTGCAGGAAATACTTCCCCAGCCTTGTAGACTTGAAAGAGGGGAGGTAGGAGCCGACCTGGTCGTGGGACAGGTACAAGCTCAGCTCGGATGACGAGCAGGACAATAAGCAGGAGCGGGTTTTGGCGGACTTTTGGGTAAGTGTCTCATAACATAGCTCAATACATCTCCTCCATTGCTTAAGTCTTTTTATTGAAATAATGAACGGATACATCGTGTTTATATGCAGAGGTACTTCAAGGCCGAAGAAGGTAGAGAGACCCTGGCGGATCAGACGGCACACAGAGCCTGTAAGAAGTACATCGGCGACATCATTCACGATGCGCGACTCTAGGCCCACGTCGACTACTACAGGTCCATCAAGAAAGAGCCCCTTAACAAAACCAGCGCAAGAAAGGTGGCGCTGACCAAGGAGCAGTACCTTCAGGTAGGTGAATAATATTGATTCGTTTTGAGATTTAGTTGGTGCAGAATTGATCTTCTTATATGTCAAACACTTGATGATGTGTAGGTGCCGGCCTCGTGGTGCATGTCGCATAGATCGGCATGGTCGAGGATCGTGGATAGGTACCTTGACCCGGCGTACATCGCAAAGCACGAGCAAGGCAAGCGAAAGCGGGCACTGAGGACCGCTCCAACTCACCACCAAGGCGCATTCAAGCGGGCACTTGTACGAGATGTCATTTATCTATTCTAACGCTCAATTTTGCCTGATTTCTAATCATCTTGCCGTCTTTCTCGTAGGAGGTGGCACACCCGGACGTGCCGGTGTCAGAGTTTGGGGCATGGGCTATGTCCCACATGGGCCCGGTGAAATCCGGTGTCGTCTTCAACTCAGATGCCCCTGCCTAGGCTTACTCTGACCCGAGCATCCACGCTAAGGTCAGAGACTACACGGAGGTGGTTAGGGTGCTCCGTGGCTCAGATCACAATCTGAGCACTGAGCCCCTTGAGACAGAGGTGATTGTGAGGCTGGGGAAAGGCAGGAAGCACTGGCAGTTGTGGATTGCAGACGACGCCGACTCCTCGAGCTCTGCACCCTCTCTCTCCGATGTGAGGGCACGGAGCACGGCCAGAAGCCTTCCCATACGTGCACGGTCTACTCCAACACTGTCGTGAGTCGACGAACTTAAGGTAATTCCGATTAAACTCGTCGTACATTGAACGTTACACACATCGATCAGATTTGCAATACTAAAACATGTGATTGAAACACTATAGGCCGAGCTGGCAGAGACAAGGGAGACGCAAGCGCACCTGACCGCAGAGCTGGAGGCCACGAAGAAGCAGATGGCGGACATGTATCAGATCATGCAAACCATCAGGCAAGCATCGGGTGTCCAAGTGCAGTTGCCAGCTCCAGCTCTGGTTCGACACTTCACTCCTGTGAGTATGAAAGTTTAATGCGTTCGTGCCGTTGGGATTGTCGGCCTTCGTGCCGTTGTGATTTTCGGCCTTCGTGCCGTTGGGATTGTCGCCCTTTGTGCCGTTGTGATTGTCGGCCTTCGTGCCATTGTTTCTTGCAGGTTGGAACCCTCCCCGTGCAGGGGAGGTGCTGCCGAAATTTTCAATTTTGAGTCTAACACATGCAATCACTTCTCTTTTGTGCAGCCTCCGTCGGCGGGTTCAAACAATCCCGCTAGCGTGTCACCGGCGGCTGATCATGTCAACCCTTGGCTGCAGTCCGGTCCTTCACCGCTGTCCAGGGGGGCACACCTGCAGTCTCCATCGTCGCAGTAGGGATGTTGAACTTGTAATAATAAACTTGTGATGTTGAACTTTGGTGCATTTGTGATGGATTTTCGATGGATTTATTAAATATGCGTGTGCTTGTGATATATAATGCATGTTGATGATATGGATGTGATGATTGATGTATATATATATATTGTCTGTTACAATGGAATGTAAAAAGAATTGCAATTCTCGGGGTCTTTGCCGAGTGCCATGAGCAAGGCACTCGGCAAAGTATTTAAAAAAATTCTTTGCTGAGTGCCTCGCCGCGGCACTCGGTAAAGTATTTTTTTTAA